TTCTGTTAATCTGCTGTTGTGGAGAGGACCGAACATAAACTTGACTCTTGAAAGACTTAAACGTAATGCCTCAATCGAGTCCAAGTTACACATTCACAATTATCTGTTGTAAGTGGAAAGAGATGGTCGGCAGGGGGAAAAGGGATTGATTTCTCTGCACCAGCGGTCGCCATTGTTAGTCCATCAGCTAGTAAGAAGGAAGACGAGTACTCGTCTTAATTATTTCCGCGCGCCATCAGGATTTCCTTGAATCCACCGTTAAATATGGGTGGAGACGAACAGGACACACAGTGCCTGTGGTTTACAAATGGGTCTTGCCTGCAAACAGGTGGCCGCCATGTGCAAACAAATTATGCGTCCAAGGGCGGTGCAGTCCAAGCTAGCGGTCAGCCGTTCTTGGCTCCTTCCGTGCGCCGACCGCTCCCTCAATTATTCGAAGCAAATGGGGTCAAAGATTTGGGACTGTGTTGCACGAAACTAAGATGGCCGTCTTAGCAAAGACCCAGCAACGCCGGTGGCTACTCGCAGTCGGGGACAAAACAGCTTCTAGATCATTGCTAACATAAAAATAACCTGAGCTCCTGCAGACAGGCTGTGCTGTAGACAACCGAGGTATGCAAAGTCGGCCATGGAAAAACCGACACATCCTCTCCTGTCATCAGATTCTACGCAGAGCCCTGCAGGATACAGACCTATTCCCTACATTGCGACTTCCAAAGAGGAAAGTGCAATCATGGGGGGGGACAAGAGATGGCCGTGATTGCCGAGTTCATGCTAAAAATTCCTTTTCCTGTTTATATTTTCATTATTCATAAAGGCTTTAATAGATGAGCTGGTCACGCGAAACAAAAAACACTTCCCCGGTTCTAGACTCTTTTTGCCAATCGTAGTAAAGCAACTATTATTAGCGACTCATCTACTTTTATCACGCCTTTTCCTTGGACGTCTGTGAAGAAAATGTGACGATCTTACGCCAACATCTGTTTAGTTTGTTTGGAGGAAATTTCGATCCTCCTATCTGCTGCAGTGTTTCTTTACTCGTGTCGCAGTAGTATTCCAGTACTTTATGAACCGGTTTACAGGTAAAGTACGGTATTTAAAGCCCCGAATAGGTCACTAGGATAGCGAAACAAAAAGGTCGTGCGAGTTACCTCGATGACTTCAAGGACGACGACAGTTCGAGCGTAGTAATTGACGATTACCGCCGTGTGCTCCACAGCAGAGTGAGAGCAGGGTCGGTGACTTTTGCGAGAGTTAGTTTAAAATGCTAATAGCATCTTATTGAATCTGCCTTACTCTCTTCTCCTATCCTACCTGAATACTGTTTGATGACAGTGTCAAGAAGACCTGAGGCGGTAGAGGGCGCAGGTGACTGGCGCGGAGAAAATTCCCGCCTAGGTGTGCCACCACAGCCCCTGGTCCACAACCTATACTGACCAGCATTTTGAACCAAGAAGCAAAAGGGGCGGCTCGGATTCCACTGGGAAGTAGTGCCATAGAGATTAGGTTAGGCAGGAGCCATTGCATCTTGACTGTCAGTCCTCCAGTCGGCCACTCCACTCAAACGCACACTGAGCTGACTGTGGTGTCCAAGTTGTCCCGTTAGTTGGCAGCCTTCCAAGCCACAGCTTTTGGCGCACCGTGATAGATTCAAGCGCGTCGGATTGTTTATAGTGAGGAATATGCGCTCAGACCGTCGACCTCACCCGCTCTACCCTCTCCTGTGCACCAGACAACCAGCTAATGTTGAGATTGAAAGAGGTGACTGACCGAGCTGGAAACAGCTCTCCTGCGCAATCCGCCACAGGGGTGTAAACCGCTCGGATCTCACACGCATCAGAGGAAATACATGGAGAAAGCAGCCGGACAGCACACTTCCCAGTAACGTGGAGGTGTTTATGATGTGAGATGCTAGAGGTGTTCATGTTTTTTGCATGTTCTGATGGGGAAATGTGGGGTGAAGTGGTTATGTCTGCGATGATTTACCGCAGGTTTTCATGGAGGCGCACGTGACCGAGTGGGTCTGTGAGAGGGTTGAATGTTAGAGAAGAATGCGGGCAGTTGAGGCGATGGCATGTGGTGTATACTGGGTGCTCCAGACTTTGGCTCGCCAATATCTGTGCGATGGGTCACAAGTGATCGACAAGGTCGATGCGTGAGGTGAATGCGCGGTGGCAGTGTGGGCAAGACAGGTCTTCGGGTCATTTGGTGTTGTGACGCTGCTAGGGGGTGAATGCGTTGGTCGATGGGAAGCTGATTGGGCAGAAGATGGGAAAGTTGGTGGATGCGCAAAGTGTGTTAGGTGCATCAATAGTACAGTGAATTCGGCTAGGTGTTCTCGACCATGGACTTGTTTCGTCTCTCGATAAATGTTCCTTCAATACGCTGATCTCGACTGGGTTTAAGTTGCAGACTGGTGCATACGAGGAGGTTCTGGCATATGACGACCCATGGAAATAAGCAATCCTCCGAAAGTAAGAGAAAGTCCTGTGATGAGTCTTTCCCTTTTTCGCCGTTTCAGTAATCTGCCCGGCAATCATTTTTCGAAGACTGAAAAGCGTCAAGTAGGTAGGACATCATATAGGGACTCAGGTTTTCTATTTCTTTTCGAGCACTCTCCTTCTTTTTGTCTCAGTTAGTTGCTTGGGGTTATAATTGCTCTAGGAGCAACGACGCCTGTCTTCAGGAATTGAACGCCTGTAAGAGGTCGGGAATAGTCAGCGTGCAACCTGGTACCAGGACAACCATGCGCTAGGAAACTTCCTTAACTTGATGCTCAGAATTGGACGTTTGTTTATAAAAGTATGCCTTCCGCGCCTGTACCCTGTTAGCTTCTCAGCTGCAGTGCAGGCCGCTCGGGTGGAGGAGCTTGTATCCTGTTAGGTTGACTGACAAAGAAGTTTCAGGATGATTATCCAGTTCAGATGATTGCGGCCTTCAGAAGTTCCTTTTCGTGGCCGGCAATCAAGACTCCAGCGGATGCCTACTTTTGCCTACGTCGTTCTACAGGGACTCGGGCAGTTCACTTGAGTGCTCCAAATTTGCTCGTAGATTTAGTTTCTGCGTATCAGTCGTCTGCTGCTGCAGTCCATATCAGTCTTTTCAGGATTGTCGTTTCACTGGCACAGTCACTAGAATGCCACCAAGTCATCCAGTAGAATGTACTTTGCATGTGGTCTGTGTTTTAGATAACTGGTCAATTTCTCCAAACGCCTTGAGATCCTGGGTGGCCATTCCAAGGGCGGGTGGTATTTAATGAGATGTCTGGCTATTTTATATATTTACTTATTTTTGCAAAGAATATACAACCGAAATGCACTTTCGGCCAGTTGCTTGAAAATTGTATTCTAAAAATTGCTGGTTCGCGAATTTCTCACTGTTCCACGCTCTGTTATTTTTTAACCGATTAGGATAATTTATGTGTTATATTCAGTTCGTGGTTTATATTTCGAAATCTGTTCGTACCGGTTTTATGGCCCTTAAATCACAGACTGCCATGGGTGTGCGTCAGCATTACGATGTAGTTTTATTCTGCCAAGCTAATTGGCAGATTTACTGCTAGGCCGAAGAAGAACAGTAAAAATCAGAGCCTTCAAGTTCTGTCCCTATCGTTCCGTAATAACAGCTTGATGGACTATATCTGAGCTCCAGAAAAGTACCACTTGCTACTTTTAAAAATATATTCATCCGTCGTAAGTGCCTGGACCCATCCACTACACGCCATTTCAATGCTAGTAGCAGTATCAGAGCAGATTATGTTCATATCTTAAGCCCAACTTCTATATATGGACATAACAGTCGGAAACAATGTGGGAACCCATGAGACCTTACTGGAGTGGCAGGTTAAGAAACGGGGGGACCGAATAAATATACACCTAATTTACTTCTGCACAATACTCCAATTTACTTGACCGCATTTAAAGGCTCTCGCCTGTCTCCAGAACCCGACAATTCGATCGCCGTTGTCGATAATGTCCTCCGTGTGCACCACAGCCTGCTGAATGCGGGTACGGTAACTTGTGCATAGGTTGGTTTGCGGTTAAATTATACTTGCGCAGCTTCTACTGCACTCTCTACTCCCCACCTCGGCCCGGCGTCATGACGTAGTCAAGTAGACCGGCGGTGGGAGAGGACGCAGGTGGCTGGCATGGCCAACCCACACCTAGGCGTACCACCACACTCCCCGGTCCACAGCAAACACTTGGTTAGGATTTTAACCAACAACAAAAAACGGATGACACATCACCGCGGAACCATGCTCGTGACCTTTACACCCAGTTGGAGCGCAGGCGCATCCACCGGCAGGGAACCAGGTGCCAGAGAGTTGCCAGCGCACACCAACCTGCGAAGGTCATGATTTGTTGAATCATGGCATAGTAGACGCACACAATCCTTTAGGTCTAGAAGGGTGACACGCGGACTTTCACCTCGCTTGGGCTATCATCCTTCAGAGGCCGGGTAACCAGTCATCATCTACTGAGAGGCACCACTCACACACACACATGCTTGAGAGTACAAGAGGTTACGTTAAGAAGGAGCTGTGGCAGCCTGGCTCTTAGCTCGTCAGTCCGGCACTCCACACACAACTGGGCGTACTGCCTGCACAGAGTTGAGGTGTCAGTTGGCAACCTTCCAAGCCAAGGCACTTTGCGCATTGTGATAGTCTGAGTCTTGGGTCACACATGCAGCAGATGAGCCACACATAGAAGGAGCAGAGAATCACACTTTCCACCCAAAATAAGAGGTGTCAATCTAGTGCTTGCGCTGTGTGATGATGGGTGATGTTGATGCGTGCTGCAGGTGCTGGTGGGCAAAGGTGCGATGGTGTAGTATAGCCGGCGGTGGTTAATCGCAGGTTTTCGTAACTGCGGCTGTGACCAAACAGATCCATGTGATGGCCAAATGTGCGGGGGCAGTGAGGACAGTTAAGGCATTTGTATCGAGCATATGTGAGTGCTTCAGGTGCTGATTCTCCAGTCTCTGTGCGATGGATCCTCAAGTTACCGATCAGACCGATGTTGGGATGTGAATGTGCGATCGCAATGAGGAAAGGCTGGGACCGAGTCCACATCGCTGGTAATGGGGATGCTGGTGGTGATGGTAGCAGATGATGGGACGTCGGACGTCATTTCATCGGCCTGGGGAGTGCGAGATATCGTGGTATTGGCGAAGCTGGTCGCCGCAGAGGTTGAGGCGGGACGAATGATGTCTGTGATTGGCGGCGGCGGGGAGACGACGGTATGATCGTAAGTGACAGGAATGCTCGTAATCGCGCGGTTTGCGGCAGGGACGAGAGTGGAAGAGAAATTGGCGATGCCAGGTTTTTGGTGCATGGCGTCCGAAGGTATCTTACGAGGCCGATTCGCTGCGGAAGGTGCTTATGCAGCTCAGGTATGTTGGAAACAACGGACTGTCGGCATTTGGGAGTTAAGGGATTTGTGACTTGCGGGCCTCCATTTTGTCTCTGAGGACTATAACGTGGTTTGTTTCGTAGATAGCCACTGGTCTTCACTCCTCTTTTCCAGGACGGTTTGTTCTGGCCGAGGTCCTCTAAGGTCTCTCGGTTTATCTGCAGTTGTTTCAGCGATTTCTTAACAGTGTCCTATTATCGTCGTCCTTTCTACCTTGTCGACGAGTACCCTTGGCGACATCTCCATGAAACAGTCTTTTGGGTGGTCGCTCGTCGTCCATTCTCATTAGGTGGACGCTCCAACCCAGCTGCAGTTGTCTCAGCATAACGTGGATGCTGAGGATTCCTGTCTGTTCCGGCATTTCCGTATTTGGGACCCGGTACTGCCATCTCAGATTTAGTAATCCACACAGGCAGGTGATATGGAAGTGGCTGAAATTCCTGGCATGGCCGGAGTAGACGGCCCATACAAAAGTGTCGTCAGGACGACGGCCTTGTGCACCTTCAGTTTGGTGTTCATTTAAAAACCGTGGCAATTCCACACAAGGTCTTGCAGCCACTAGAAGAATTATCTGATTCTGGCGATCCAGGGGGCCACTTTGTCATCGATTCGAATGCAGTGTGACATTTTGCTGCCCATGTAGTTGATGTTGCCGACCGTCTTCAGTTCGGTGCCGTTGAAGTGGACGCGTTCGGTAGCTGTTGACGCATGACCACTCTGTTGTCCGTGTTGATGGTCATTTCAAGCGGACGCAGTCGGAAATGAAGAGATCCATGCTCAGTTTTATCTCTTCGTTGATAGAATTGTTAAGTGCGCAGCTTTCAATGAAGAAAAGTCCGTGCATGGATGCTGCGTATGCACGCGACTGGAGGTACATTCACCGACAATTGCGGAGTTTGCGTCTATCCTGCCGGCTAGACAGATCCCGGGGAGTTCGTCACGCAGGAGCCCATTTGCACGGCAGAAAACATGAGACTCAAGAGGGTTGGATCGAGGACGCAGTCCTGCTCCACTTCGCTGGGCAACGCAAATGTCGCTGAGACAGTTCCGTTGTCCGTGATTGGCGCCGTCATGTCATCGCGGAGCTAAAGTACCACCTAAGTAAATCACCCGGGACAGTCAAGTTTTTTGCATAATTTTCCACAGTCCTTCGCGATTCACCGTGTCAAAGGCCTGACCCAGATTCGAGAGGATAGAGTAGAGGTGAATCCGCATCTCCTGACATTGCTTCAGCTGGCGGAATGCGAAGATCATGTTAGTGGTGCAGCGATGATTGTGGAGGCCGTACTGGCCAGTTGACTGCTAAGGATATTTATGAGAAAGGGAAGGAAAATTTTTCTGGCGATATTGGGGAGCGGGATTGCGCTGTGGTTGTCACGGATTTGTCGATTCACTTCCCGCTTCTAGAGATGGACGACTGCGGCGTTTTTGAAATTCTGTGGGACTTTTCCTTGGCGCCATACCTCCTAGAAGAACGCTGTTAGGTGATTCGTGAGTTGAAGAGCGCCGTGATTGTAGATTTTAGCAGGAATCGCATCTGATCCAGGGGCTTTCCCACTGAAGGGTTGCTGCACGGCTCTGATTGCTTCGTGGAGAGAGGGGAGGTCGGAGTCGGCGTTGATCTCCACTTGGGTCGATGGTAGTGTCGGAGATGGTAGAAAGGCCGTTAAGGACGCTTCTGAATTGCCCGACCCATAACTTCAGAATTTGCGACTTCTCGGTGAGAAGGGTAGTTCCATCGGTGCTGAGAAGAGAAGGGGTTCCTTTGGCTGTGGAACCGTAGATGTCTTGATCGCGGAGGAGTTCTTCCACTTGTTGCAGTCCGCGTATCTTTGGATCTCCTCGGTATTGCTAGCCGTTCTGGCCTGCTGCACAAGGTGGTGCCTACGGTAGTATGCTGCTCTGTTGTCGTCGGTGGGGCGGTCGAAATAGGCATTTTGCAGCCGGTTCTTCTCAGAAAGTAAGTGGCTGATAGCGACGTCGTTGTCTCCGAACCTGTCCTAGTGCTGACGACGAGCACGGTATAGGAGATCCAGGACGGTTGACTGGATCATATCCCTCAGCTGACACCATCGATTCCTCACAGAGGCGACCTCGCCGGCGGCGACGATAAGGTTGGCTAGCCGGCAGGCCAGCTCGTTGCTGAGATGAGGATGGTGAACAGGCACATTCGACAAAACAGTATTCAGCTTTTGGCGTTAGAAGATACCATATTAACAGCACAGGTACTAGCTAAATGGCCAGCTCCTCGTGTTTCGCCGATATTCTGCCGCTGCATGGTACAACTGCGAGGGATTTGGCTCTTCAGTGGGCCCCCCAGCACTCTCCGCGTACTATCTGATAGATACTCCCGTTTAGGAATCGTTGTTCTTTAATCTCCCAGGAAGTTGACTGCTAACTTGGAGTAGATCACTGTTAGGAGCGAACAGGCGAGTTCAAGGTGACAGTTCAGAAGAGGAGCGCAGTATTTAAAGCACGTAGGACCATATGTGTACTGTAATTAACAGCTCTCGAAATTGCCGCGGGGGTCGTAATTGATGCGATAGTGGCTTGTCAGTCCGCGTCCGAGTCGTTAATGGTCATTCTGGCGTGACGATTGCTCGGCAAATTTGCTCACTGTCACTGGGATAGTGGCTCACCCGCCCCCTCCCCACGTGACTGATTCCCCTGCTCAAGGAATATCTCAGCACGAAATATGGCAACGGGAGGTCATTGAGCTTGTTGATGGCTTGTGGGCCTGAGAACCATGACTCGAGCAGCTCGCGGCTCACGCGGTTGTCACCCCATGCGAGGATTTCGGCCTCTTGAAACTTGAAAATATGACCGGGTCCCGTGGAATGAGCCGCCACCTGAGAGCTAACGTCTCCCCGCCTCATTGCTGCTGTTTGCTTGGCCATACGCGTATGGAGTAATCTCCTAGTTTCTCCGACGTAGTTGCTTCGTCCGCAATTGCACCAGATCCGGTAAAGGACTCCAGACGTTTCCTGCCGTGGAAGTGGGTCTTTCGGCCTCATGGCCTGGCGCCTGATGTCTGCTTCCGGTCTGTGTGCAACCCCAACTCCAAGTGGAGTTAGAAGACGACTGACGGCTTCCGAAACGTTCTTCACGTACGGAAGAGCCCGCCAAAATTTGGGGGCTGTTGGATTTGGTCTCTGGTGTCGTTTTTGTATGCAATGGTTGACAAAGTTGCGCTGATAGCCATTGGCTCTCAGTACCCGTCGAAGATATTGTAATTCAGCAACCTTGTCTCTTACTTCACTGCAGTCCGTCTCAACGCGCCGGTATAGCGCCCTTACGCAACTGCGTTTGTGACTGATCGGGTGGTTGCTGTTGAAGTTCAGTATTTGCGTCCCATTTGTCGCTTTCCTGAACATTTTGGTTTTTATGCCACCACAATCTTTGCGACAGATGAGGACATCCAGAAAGGCCAGATGGCTGTTTTCTTCCTCCTCCATCATAAATTAAATGTCCGGGGAGACAACGTTGAAGTATTCTTTGAATGTCAGCACCTGATCCATGACGGTACATACCGAGGCCAGAATTACGGTCTTTGGTGTCGGGAAACCAGCGACTCCAACCGTTGTAGGACTGCCTCGACTATGGGTCCCGAAATCAGCGAACCCATTGGCGTTTCCTTCACCTGCTCGTAGATTGTTTCGTCGAACGTAAAGTACGTCTTGAGACAGAACTTCAGGAGCTGCATGATTTGGACGTGTCCAAGGCGATTCTCCGTTTCGTCGTATTACTCTCGTAGGAGTAGTTCGATGATCTCGACTGCCAGGTCCTGCGGGATAAAAGTAAAAATGGACTTGACATCAAAGGAAATCATGACATTGCTTGGCAGGGGGCTTAGTCCTTTAAGTTTCTCCAAGAATCGTGTAGACGGGCTGACTGTGATGTTCAAATCGGAAGTCAGAAACTTAAGACGACCAAAACAGCCACTTTTCCAGTCCGTAGATTGGAGTGCCGTTTAGTGATACGATAGGCTGGAGAGAAGCGCCCTCTTTGCGTACTTTTTGGAGACCGTAGAATCGGGCCAGGGCCGTTTCTTGCGCTCTCGCCATGCGTCGGTCGATTGGCGATATTGCACTTGAGTTCTCCATTGCCAACAGTGTCGCGTTAATCTCGCGTGTTAACGTTTTTATGGGGTTGGGTTTGTATGGGACATAGGACTGACGATCCTCCAATCAACTTTTGGCTTTCTGATCGTAGTCTGTCCTGTCCAAAACGACTGTGGAACGCCCCATGCCCGCATGCACGATACTGAGGTCGTTCTTGGCCCTGAGTTCCTTAAGTGCATCGCGGCCGACCTTGGAAAGCACGTCTGAAGGAGCACTCGAATCATTCGTCGGCCATGCTGAAGTACTGCGTGTCTCGCCAGCTCTGTGTTAACAGGAGGTTTGTATGAAACACGCTTCGGCAGCACATTGTTGTCGAGACACCTGTGCAGAAATCGAATCTGTGCATATGTAGACGACTCTCGAAGGGCAAAGGTTTCCCACCGTTGGGCTATCAGAGAGCTTCGCGACCAAAAAGATTGCTACTAGAAGCGAACAGGCGAGTTTATGCAAAAGTCTGTGGTCTATGGGCGCAGACCGAAATCTGATGCATGAATGTTTGGGCCGAAGTCCATCAGCCACAGCGGCATAACCGCGTAATATTCATTAACTACTGACGGGCAGCTAGTAGTATATTCTAACATTAGAAGATACCATACTAGTAGCTCTAGTATTCAACTGGCGCAGTAGTCGCTTACCTTGAGGTCGCGTGAGTGGCTGTAGGCGGATCCTTATCTTGGAGATGACGAGGCAATGGTCAGTTAATCCGTCTGCATCCGGGATCGCCTTTGTCACCAGCACGCCCTGCTGGCTTCGCCTCCTGATGAGAACATAGCCCAGCAGGTGTCATTTCAGCGACCGAGGGTGCATCCAGCTCGTATTCTCACGCGTCGGAGGGTGGAATAGTGTGTTGGTCGGGATGGGACAGTGATCTGCGCAGGTTCGCGGGAGAAGCATGCCATTCTCATTAAAACCACCGAAATCATGGGCACCCAGCACTCCTCTCCAGGCAGCATGGTCTGTGCCGACGCAAGCGTTGAAGTCACCGAGGACAATCAGTCTAACTGCCCTCGACACAGATGCCAGGAGGGTGTTCAAGTTTTCGTAGAACTTCATCTTCGCCTCGTCTGAATCGGTCATTGTTGAGGCGTAGGCGCTGATGATTGTGGCGAAGTTTGATCCACGAAGAGGCAGGTGGAGACTCGTCAGGTAATCGTTTATGTCCTGCGGCAGACAAGACAGTCGTACCACTATGTCTTTCCGGATGGCAAGGGCGATGACCATGTTTCGTCGTTCTGCCTCTAGGCGGCCGCTCTAGGAGGGGGTATAGCGACACCCAATTCTTCCAGCTGTCCTTGTCTGGAGAACCGAGTCTAGCTGAGTGTAGTGATGTCCACAATGCAACGCGCTAGTTACCGAGCTGCTGGCGCCGTCTTCCGTTCCAGTCAGTCGCTTCTTGAATTGTCTAAAAGAGGACGAGCATTCCAGACTGCCAGAGTGAGCGGACTCACTCAAGCAGTCTGTGAAGTGGGACGGAGGGGAGGAACGGGTTCAATAGAAAGATTGTTTTTCCTCGATTGGTGCTTTCAACCGCTTATGTAGCAGTCCGCCAGCAACGGTCTGTGCACAGATATCCTGAACCCAACATTTGTTTAGGGAACCTTTTATAGCCCTCTTCCCCTCACGGAAATAAACAGTGTCGACATTAAACAGGGCCGCTTATTTGTCCCAGACTGCTGTCGAACTCCACTATGGGCCACGTGTTGGTTCTGTGACAGAACCACCCGACTGGCCTGGGCCGTCCACGCGATCGCATGCCACCCTCTTCATAGGACTCGTCGACCGTGGGGGTGGAGGGTGTGTTAGAGAATGGAGGGAAGAGTAGGGGCAGGTGGGAGAAACAGACTTACCGGTTGTGGAGACATCCGGATGACCTGACCTGGTTTAGCCCGCTGGTCGAGGCGGTTACTGTGGTGTGGCTGCTAAGCGGAGCCTAGTTTCGAAGTGCCACAGGTGAGAATTGGGTGCCAGTTAGTGGATGCTGGGCGCAGTCGGCACCTGCAAGCAAGTGAGGGACCTACTACGACCATCACGTGGACACACATCTAGGTTCCCCAACGTCCCGCCTCTGGAACTAACGCCTCTAACATAACTGAACACATAATGCGACTGCCCCAAAATGTATGATCGTCGGGAATGCGAAAAGGTAATTTGTTGTCAGCGCCTTAAAAGTGCCCATGCGTCTTAATTGATGGGACCATAGAAACGATTCCAACCGAAACTAAAAACTACTGATGCTTTTGCTTAGTAATTTGACTCCGATGCGCCGTTCAAAACTTTGACAGTGAAATCAGGTCGTGATTCCTCTTGTTATTACGTCTTTTGACGGCGTAGACTCTTGAGATATTTCAATAAGTTTTGCATTACTTTTAGTTAACGGTTCCTTCACAATATATTAGCCTCTTATTCACAGTCATCCCGTTGTGTTTGTGTTCCCTTAAGTGTTTGGATATTCCCCGCTTGTCGATAAAGCTTTCATGTCCCATTTTCTCTGCTAATGTCAGTCATACATCTCTGATTTGTGCATGGTGAACGTTTGGCTTTTTTTCTTTCACCTGGGTGGGAAATAAATTTAAATTAATTGCATTTTTACCAATGAACAGCACATAATCTATTTTTCGTTTACCGTTCCACGAAACGTGACTTTATACTATACCGTTGAGACTTGCCTTCGTATGTTGTAGAAATCTCCCTCTCAGATGCTTGTATCCTGCTGGTAAGGTGATCTAGACCTTGAGAATATGAAATTCCAGAAGAGTATTAGAATATGACTACTAAAACTCAGTACAGACACATCTTGCAGATTCAACGCGCTCCCCTCCTTTCGGACAAACTCAGTATTTACATAATTTAAAAGTTTTCAGTTAAATGCAGCCTTTTATAATTCAGTAGATATAAGGGAGATATTCGAAGCCTTGAAAATCACTATTTACAGATGTACGGACGAAAAACATGCGCATACTTACGTAACGGTTAGGTCGGCCATTGGTATCGAGTAGATATTTGGCCATCAGGCATAAATTTACCACTTTTTGAAGATTCAAACGTTTTTCGCCAAGACAACGGAGTTCGGCAATTCGTTCCATTCTTCAACCAACCGGTGGGAAAAGAATTTAGCCCGCACTTCAAATTTCGCATACGTTATCTTCAATTTGCATTTGTCGCCTCGAAGTCTGGTCGTAATTACCAGTTCGAAGTGATCACTAAGCTGAAGCGCACAGTCTAGCCCTCTGACGATTTTAAAGGGCATGATCATATCTGGTCTGCATTGTCCTTAGGAAAGAGGACATATTTGTTGCCCTTCCAAATGTCTTTTACGAGGTAAGCAACTTAATTAGCTGACGAGTCTCATTGATCTTCATTGTACGTTCTCTAAAAAGGGTATACTATTGTTTCACCCAGGGACCCCACGCCTGAACGCAGTATTCCAACATCGGCCGAACAGATGTCCAATTACTCTACCGCAGACCTCCTTGTCAAAATTGAGGGAGGATCTCCCAATCGTGCCAAGGATACCCAGGTCCTTCTTCGATACCTTGGCGCAGAGAGACGATGGTTTGAGAGTGCGTCATCCACACACTGAAATCTCTCAGCAAGTTGACTGATTTGAGTTGGCGACTTCTCATAAAGTGGTGATATTCAAATCTCAATGGTCCCCTGTTTCTAGATCGTAAACGGATAATTTGACATTTGTTAAAGTTTATGTAAAGAAGCAACTTATCCTCCTGTTGTTGCAAGGGATCCGGACTATTTCGCAACTTTAGCGAATTCTCCGGTTTCTTTATTGATTTCTACAATTTGAGATCATAGGCAAACATTATGTACTCGCAGTTCAGACAGTCCAGGCAGTCGTTCACATATAGTAAAAACAGAAGTCGACGCAGAACGATATCCTGCGGAACGCCACTTTGAACGGTTGCCCACTCAGATTCAGCGTTGTCAATACTCGCATGCCTAGATTTGCCTGTAAGAAAGCTGACTAGCTATTTCGGCTTATTTCCATTTGCGTCCGCTCGACGTCTTCTGAGTGGTACACTGTCAAAAGCCTCTCTGAAGTCAACGTAAATTGCGTCTACTGATATTACCGTTCCAGTTGATTTTGTCTAATCCTCCATTGGCATGCGCATATTAGAAAAACAGGACTAAGCACTTCTAAACCGATGTTTATGCAAATTAAGCAGGGCGTTAACTTCAATATGTCGAATTAACTCCACTTTATGAAAATCTCCATCAGTTTGCAAGCGACGCATGCGAGAGTCAGGGAACTGAGAATACGTACGGCTGTTCTCTCAGCTAGGTACAAACGGAATTATATCGGCTGTCATTTAATTTATGATATTATTCAATAGACGCATAACTGTCTCGACAGATGACCCAAACATGGCTATTTTACCTAAGATGGACTGAAGTGAATCTCCTTCAGCTGCAGTCTCGTACTTTCTGTGACAGATACTTTAACTCCAAGCCGAACAAAGGAGAGTTAACCGTCAAAACAGATGATAATGACGTACATGCTCATAAAATCTCTTAGAACGGTCTTCTTTGCGGATACGATGGACAGAAGTTGGGATTAAATCGACACATAGCAGCCCTTCATCAGGCAACAGTTAGTTTACAGGCCCGGAACTACTGTCGTACATGCGACTGGCACGCTTTTGGTGTCGACATTCGCCGCGCGTCAGCCACTGTTCTCAACCGATTTGCCAATTGCTTGACAGGCTAGGCCCTTCAACTGACAAATAGAAGAAAGTGAGGCCGAATCTGGAAGGCCATCTTACCAGCACTGCCACGCAGTGAAGTGAGGCGCTTGAGCGTATCTAGACGCGATCAGAGTCGTGGCTTGGAAGGCTGCAACTTACGTAATCACAACAATTGGGCCTGCGGCTACGGGGCAGCGCGTGCGGCTAAGCACAAAGTATTTACCATAGTATATTTTAGGACAATAGGCAATGTCGTCGATGACTCTTTTGAATGTGGTGCATTCGATATTTACGTTTCAATAATCATACTACCGAGGTGCTGTCAGTAACATCCACTTTATAGAACATAGTTTGACGGTGAGAAACTGCAATCCGAGCATCCTCAATTTTTCGAAGATCATTGGCCGAGCCCCTGCTGATCCTTTTCATGTACACTTGAGACCATAGGTGCGATTATATGCAATTAGCACAAAATATAGTCATTTGTATGGTTTGCGGGGTCCATTGGCATCAAACATGCGCGAATGCGTAGCACAGGAAATGAAATCAGGAAATAAAGTCCACGGCTGGTCGTAAATAGTCCAGCAGTCAGACTTGTTGTTTATCAAAAATCAAACGATATAACTGCTTCTCAGACCCAACTATGGTACCAGACGTCTGTATAACCCTTGGGAATGGGTTCCACTGTCCAACTACCCGCTGTCTTGTAGAAAACTTCCGTTGGTCCCGGAGCGTACATTCTCGTCTGGCCTTGTACGGGTGACCACGCAATCAACACAGGTGATGATGAATTACCGAAAACATATGTTTGCCAATTGACTCTTTAACACAGGTTCGTAGAGTCGAAGAAGTCTTCAGATGTTAGCGAAAAATCATGCCTGCTCAAAATGCGGAACGTCCACAGCAGTTTAGACCCCATTTGTCTATAGGGTAGGGGGATAAATTGATCTGGATCAGTCTTTCTGGATACGACTGAGTCCCAATACCGCGCATTAGCTTTGTCGCCCAACGTTGCACCTGGTCAATGGGGTCACTGTCCTTCTGTATCCAGGACACCCATGCTGGAACTCCGTACTCCAAATGCAGTCTGACAGACGTATCGGATATCTGCGTGAATTGTTCGGAGGAAAGACTACGAAAGTACGTCCACTCCAGTACGTGGTGGTGTTTGGTTTTCGGATGGCTTTTTCGCAGTGTTCGGAGAGCAGGAATTTCGAACTTATCCAAATACCTTGATCCTTGTGCGTATTCACCTCTTGAAGCGGAATCTCATATATTGCGTGCCGATGTTCTGGGAAACGTTGCCAACCAGATTTCAAGCGAAAGACTACACATTTGGGTATATTAAGCGTTAGAAGCCACTTGCTGGACCATGCAACTAACTTATTGACGCTTTCTTGCATTTTCTGCGCGTCGTCAGCACAGCTGACTTCTTCCGACGTTTTTCTTATCTGCAAACATTACGGTATTGCTGTCAAGTTCTGGAACACTCCACGCAGGTTACGTCTTCATAAATAACACCCA